GTTGAGGTGTGTAGGGGAGGTAGGGGGTGCGTGGGGGGATATGTGAGACACGGAGCAGACCCCTGGCACACGACCCCGCTGCGGTGCCGCAGTCATTGCCGACAGGCTCCCACACGCCGCGAGGCCTCGTCCCCGTCAGACCTTCGCACGCCGCGGGGCTCCCGCAGACTGTGCCGCCTTCGTGCGCTTCTGCCCTTCACCTGCTTTTATAACCACACAGAACTGCTTTTTATCGCCCCCCTCGCAAAAACTCATCCATGCAAATCCTGCTACGCTGCCTCCTTGGCTGCGTTTTTTCCCCTCTTTCCGTTCTCCCCCCACCCCGGCGCAGTAACGTGGTGGGTTTTCCCCTCCGGTAGAGCTGCCCTGGGACCAGCCCAGCGATAGCTGCCAGGAGTACAGCGACTGGAAGGAGAGGAAAACCTACCTCCCGCCCTGGAAAAAGATCGATTCGGCACCTTTAGGTGAGCAACTGACAGCCGGCAGCCCCCTGTTCTGTGCTGGCGGTTGCCATTTTCCCCCCGGTTTTTCTTTCCCTCTGTTTTTCCCTCCTTCAGCTTTGCTGCACAAGATCCTGACGGAGAGCCCAACTGCGAGGATCACTATCGCTGACATCAAAAAGGACCGCTGGTACAGCAAACCCCTCAAAAAGGGTAAGTGGCCACCAGGGAACACGCTCGTCCACCCAGATTTGTCGGGGGGGGGGGCAGTTATTGGGTGTCTTGTCCCTTTGCAGGCGTCAAGCGGGCTCATGTCTCCTCTGGAGGGGTCACCGACTCCCCCGGTGGCTTCTCCAAGCACGTCCGATCCGATACGGACTTCTCGCCAGTGAAGAGCGTGCTGGGGTGAGCCTCTGCTGCCCTGTGCCCCCTCTGCTGCCCTGTGCCCCCCCTGCTGCCCTGTGCCCCCCCACCACACACTCCAGCCCATGAGCACACGCTCAGGCGCTGCCAGTTGCCTCCTTGCTGTTTGCACTGCTGGGGGGGTGGGGGGTTGGATGCAAGTAGGAGCTTTCTCACACATTTCCAGGGGATTTTTCATGCCGTGGGGCTTTGCAGGTGGCAGGGGTTTGGTTGCTGAGGGGCTTTCCCTGTGTTTTCACCGGGAGATGGTTTGGCGGGAGCTGCGCGCCGGCCGGTGTTCCCCCACAAAAATCCCAACACGGCACGAGTCCCCTGCTCGAACACCGCCCACCTCCAGGGTCCCTCTTTCACAGCAACAGCCCTAACACCCCTCCTCAAGCCATAGGACAAGAGGGAATGGCCTCAAGCTGCCCAGGGCAGGGTCAGGCTGGCTCTGAGGAAGGATTTCTGTGCAGAAGGGGCTGTTGGGCGTTGGGATGGGCTGCCCAGGGCAGGGGGGAGTCCCCATCCCTGGAGGGGTTGGAGAGTCGGGCTGAGCCAGCACTGAGGGATCTGGGGGAGTTGGGAACGGTCAGGGTGAGGGTCATGGTTGGGCTGGAGGAGCTTCAAGGGCTTTTCCAACCAGGATGATTCTGGGATTCTCTCCTCTCACGCCACAGCGAGGAGAAGGCGACTTACTCCACGTCGCAGCCGGAGCCCGGCACAGGCGGGACGCTCTGGGAGAGCGGGGCAGCTGCCATCGACAAACTGGTGCAGGGCATCAGCTTCTCCCAGCCCGCTTGCCCCGATCACATGCTGGTCAACAGCCAGCTCCTCGGCACCCCCGGCTCCTCCCAGGTGCGTCACCGGCGTTGGGGTGCAGCTTTTAGTGCAAATTTGGGAATGTCAGGCTGTAACTTCTCAGGGTTTAGAATGCCAGCCTGCAACTTCGCAGCACAGGGGATGCAGCTGTGCAGTGTTTTGTGTCTCAGGATGTGGTTTCACGAGGTTTATCACTTCAGGGCACAACATTACGATGTTTGGGAGGCAACTGCAGTGTATAGGGAGCAACTCCTCAATACTGGGGATGTGGTTTTGCGGTATTTATCCTCTCAGGGTGCCACTCTGCATCGTTTATAGCATCACGATGCCACTTTGCAATGTCTGAGATGCTGCTTTAAGACACTTATGATATCAGGATGCAGTGCTGCCCTATTTGGGATGCAGCTTTGCATCCAAATAGTATTTATTATATTGGGGATGCACTTTGCCTTATATACTTATTTATGAGATTAAGAAGCAATGTCTCAATAATATTGCAATAATATATTTAGAATATTGCAATAATATATTTAGAATATTGCAATAATATATTTTTAGAATATTGCAATAATATATTTAGAATATTGCAATAATATATTTAGAATATTGCAATAATATATTTAGAATATTGCAATAATATATTTCTTAATATTGCAATAATATATTTAGAATTTGCAATATTGGGGATGCGGTCTTGCAGTGTTTTGTGTCTCAGGATGTGGCTTCGTGACGTTTCTCGCCTCAGGGCACAACCTGGCGATATTTGAGGGGCAGCTCCAGCATGTAGAATATCAGGATGCAGTTTTGCAGGACTGGAGCTGCTGCTTTGCAGTATTTATAAAATTTGGGGTGCAGCTTCGCGGTGTTTCTAACGCAGCCTTGCAGCCTGGGAGGTGCAGCTCGCAGCCTTCACCATCAGGGGGTGCAGCTTGGCAATATTTTCCCTCTTTAAGGGATTTTTGCAGAGCTGGGGCTGCACCTTTGCGGGTTTTACAACCTTTGCCAGATTTGTAACTTTTGCCACCGTTTTTGGGGGGCTGGCAGAGCCCGTGGCAGCGGCTGGTGAAGCGGATGACACGCTTCTTCACCAAACTGGACGCCGACAGCTCTTACCGCGCCCTGAAAGAGGTCTGTGAGAAGATGGGATACGGCTGGAAGAAGAGCTGCACGAACCAGGTGGAGATTGGGGTGTAAAATCGTATCGTGGGGTGGGGGGTGCTGTTGCATCTATGAATAATTTGGGGATTTCCCACTCCCCCCGGCTTTGCTGCGGTTTTGCCAGGTCACCATCTCCACCACGGACCGGAGAAACAACAAACTCATCTTCAAGGTGAACCTGGTGGAGATGGACAGCAAGATTTTGGTGGATTTTCGCCTCTCCAAGGTGAGGTGTCGGGGTCAGGGTGGGGGCAGCACCCGCTAGGTGCACGGGGACTGCGGGGCGATGCAAGACACGGTCTGGGGGAGGTGCAAGGAGATGCAAAAACACACACACACCCCCCCCGGCCTCTCCCCTCCGCAGGGTGATGGCCTGGAGTTCAAGAGGCATTTTCTGAAAATCAAGGGCAAGCTGAGCGACGTCGTCAGCACCCAGAAAGTCTGGCTGCCCACCACCTGAGCCCCCCCATCTTCCCCACATTTCCCCCCCATTCCCTCCCCACC